TTTGGAAAAGGTGGTTTTATCTGAGTTCCCATTTTCTGTGGGAAGATGTTGGTTCTAGCCAAAAATGGAAAAAAAACCCCAACCATCATTTCAAAAGTGGTTGAAAACCAAAGCTCCTCCTGGGGAAAGGCGTGGGTGAGCCAGGCTCCAGGAAAGGCAGAAAGGGGCTCTGGGATGGGATGAGGCTGTGGTGCTCCAGGAGAGCTTTGGCTTTTTGGCACAACGCTCAGAGCCAGTTGAATTACTTGCTATGTAATGTCTCCGTGAGACATCAGTGTGGGGTCTGCGCTGAGTGCTTGGCCCTACAGATGGTGTAGGTGTGCTCAGGGCCGTGCACATGGCTTGGGATGCACAGCACAGCCTTCCCTGAAGGTGGGAACCCAGCCCTGCAGAGCTCTGCTTTGGGCTAAAGCATGGCATGGACTGCAAATGCCTTAAAAACTGCATTTAGCTCCAGCACTCATGTAAGCTGCTCGGTTGCTAAAAGGAGGGAGAAGGTTTCTGCTCATTTACAGTAAGATTTAGAGGCAAAAAAGGCTGACAGCTGGCGTGTGGTACAGGGTCCTAATGCTGGCACACAGGGCACTGCTGAGCACCACGCACCGACAGCTCTGACATGGCACAGCTTTGTGGCATCTCCACATCCCCAGCTGCCCAGCGCGGCCGATGGCCCTGAGAGTGCAGGGCTCACTGCTGCATCTTCTTCTTGAGGGGAACCCACACTGCACAGGGCGGGCAGCTCTACAGAACATCCTCCAGAAGTACACAAAGAAAACCCCCTGCAAACAGTGACGCTTCCAACCATTTAATTGTGATGGCTGCCATGTGACCGCAGCCTCAAGAAGAAAAGTCACACACGTGGTTGGTGCTTAGGGTTGGAGCCCACCTGCACTGTTCTCATCGACTGATGGTCATTCAGGTTAAAGCTCTGACTGTCTGTGCTCCCATCTCAGGGGCGGCTGCGCTTCTTCTGGGAGGAAAGTGGCAGTGCTGGAGCTCAAAGCAAAAGGAGCTGAGGTGCACAGCAAAGAGCAGCACAGCAAAGAGCAGCACAGCAAACAGCAGCACAGCACACTGCACCCACACAGCACCAGCTGGGCCCAAAGGATGCTGTGCAGAGGAGGAGCACAAAAAAACCCAAACCTGAGAATATTCTTTTTCCAGTATTCAAAAAGAAAATGGGAAGTGCTCCTTAGATGACATTGAGTTGGCAAACTCTGGTTTTAGGGTAACAAAGCGAAAGGTGAAGGCAGATTGTCCAAAGTATTGTAAAATTTATTGTATAAGTATTGCAGCTTTTAGAATGACATATAATTGCCACTATTGGTTACTGTTACACAATAAGCATTTACAACAGAATTTTGTAAATTGGCATCAGAGTACATATTCATACTAAACCAGCAAAATATAGGTAAGTACTGCATTGCATGTGCGGTCAATAGTTTACAGAAGTTTAAACTTGAACAGAACTCGGGATGCAGGACTGCCCGTAACAAACTCCAAAGCCAAAGCAATGCAACTGGAAGGCTGAGGAAAGATGAATACAATGAGGTTGTGTCTGTAAGGCAGGCAAACCAGGACTGTAGTGCTGTCCCTTACGGGCTTCTATAGCACAGCAACAATTTGAAGCGCCATTTCTGGAAAACTTTTTTGTTTTATGGTAGCATTGAGAATGTCTGAGTGAAACAGAGAGACTACGAATTCATTCTGTCCTCAGCCAGCACTGCTGGTGCTACACAGCTGGAGGCATTCCTTGTCTGATCCTCAGTAAAAACATTGGGCTTCTATTTCTTTAACACAGCAGGTAGTGCAGTGTAGAGGTTGTACACACATAGGGAAGGTGAGCGCCCCAGAAATCAGATGGATTTCCTTATAGCCCCAGTTAAGATACCTCAGGCCGTCTCACACCAGCGGGCTGTGGAGGGGGCCAAAGCCTCAACAAAAAGCACTGCTCCTTGCCATCCTCACTGAGAAGCCACGTTTGTTCTGGTGGCACGCTCAGGATGCTGTTTGCCACACTGTACCCTAAGGAAATCCCTCAGATTAATGAACCCTTCTAAAGCCAACACGACTCCTACAGCTCTGAGCAAAAAGGCTGAGTTGTGACGGAGGCTGCTGAGCACTGGCAATGTCTCATTTCTCCTGCTTTTGTCGCAGTAAGTCACTGGGGCAGGGCCTGATGCTCCCTCTGCTGCAGCTGTGGGATGCGAGAGCAGCTGTGGGCAGGTCCTGCATAGAGACCAAAGGGAGACAGAGTGCATGGCCAGCACCCGGCCATGGAGAGAATGGGGGGTGGGAGACATGGACCCCGAGGCAAAAATAACATTAAATAGCAATAATAAGGACAACAATAATAAAGAATCATCATCATAATTCAAGAACATTATTTCTAACACCCATTCAGAACTTGGGAATTCATCTGGGCCCCAGATCTGGTCCTGCATTGGAAACACAGGGTGTGCAGGGCTGCAGGATGCGGAAAGGAGCCGGGCACAAGGGGACAAGTCGGCTGTGCTGAGCTGGGCTGGGCTGGGGCTGCACTGGGCTGGGCTGAGACCCATTCTGGCAGCCTATGGCAGCTCCAGGGGTGTGGGACATGGGCTGACAGCAGTTTGGTGCTGATGAGCCACCCTGCTTTAAGCTCATTCCACACCCCACACGGCAAAGGAAAGCAGAGCCAGTAACTCAGCAAAGGGATCAAAGAGCTGCAGGATGCTCGGGGTGAGGTCTGCGAGATTGAAATTCACACGGGGAGAGGATGGGGAAGGAAAAAAGAGAACGAGTTGAAATCCCAAGGCCTGATAGAAGACCTGGAGCTGCTCTGACTGCACAAAGCCAACAGAGCACCGCTCAGTGCCCACCGCCCAGCAGTGCCAAGAACCCCCGCCTGCTCCGTGCCGGACCACGACGCACATCCCACCCCACACCCACTGAGGTAACCATTTGGTTTTTGTAGCAAACACACGAGTTAAGCTCACAGAACAGAACACCCCCCGGAAACAAAACCCAACCGCACTATGCACGCGTTTTGGCTCAAGAGGGCAGCAGATATTACAGGCGTCTTTTGGTTGGTACCTCACGTCCAACAGCAGCTGCGGTTCCTGACCCCACACCATGTGCAGGAGCAGCCAGGTGACCCAGGCAGCATCCGCAGCCCACGGGGGGACAGCTGCCCTGTGCACGGCATGTGGAGCAGCACTGCTGGGTGGTGATGCCCGGGATTCCCTTCTCCCCTCTTTTAAAAGGGAGCGATGCTGCTTCTTTCATAAGGCACTAATAGATATGTTACATAAAGATACGTTCTCATAAACTCACTTCGCGCCTTCCTGACACACTCAAGTCGCTCTCCTTTGCATTTCTGGTTGTTTCTTTTGTGGTTTTGCGTGGCTGTAAAGCTGGGAGGACCCCGAGAGCTGCAGAAAAGTGCTCTGAAGGACTGAGAGAATACAGGATTTATTAAAAAAAAAAAAAAAAAAAAAAAAAAGCAAACAAAAAACCAACTTCAAGTTCAGTTATTCTCCATCTTCACCAAAATACATATAAATATCGTTCAAACCGTCACAACTTCAGAACTGTTCTCACGTATTTTTCTTTTTCAAGTAATAGAAGAGTTGCTTAACAACAACTTATTGCCTTTATGTCTTCCACATCTGTCACTGCCGGGCAGCACCCTGCAGGGAACGGCCCCACACCTCCCCGCACCGACATGGAGAGCAGAGGGACGGACGGCACCGGAGCTGAGCTGAGGGCAGTGTGGATCTGCAGGCGGAGGGCCGAGCAGGTGCTGCTCCCAGTGAAGAAATCTTCCAAGGAGGTGAAGGGCTTTTGCTTCTAAAGCACTGAGCCTATTCGGTTAGCTTTTAATTGACACACCACAGGAACAGGCTCGTTCCCACCCATCGTGCCTCACACCTATCTAGAGGGGTAAGAAAGCAAAAAACAGCACTGAGTGGAGGCAGGCGGGGCTGCAACCCCACTGCTGGGAGCAGAGTGCGGCCCCACGCAGTGCAGCAGCCCTGCAGCCATGGCAGCCCAGCATGCTGCAGTCCAGGTCTGGCTCTGGGGGGGGGGGGGG